TAAAAAAATTGTAGGCTTTAGAGTTAGAAAACCCTGATGGTTTCCAGGACAACAAGTAACAATAACCACACAGGAAGCTACAGCTATCTGAAGAAAGGTATAATGTTTTTATAGTTCTAATTTATTGTTTTTAATTTAATTTACCAAAGGTTCAATATTTATAACACTCACCAATTTATCAAAGTCTTTATTACTACTAATTTATTTTACACTTAATAAGTATATAATTTATCTACGTGCGATACAATTTTAAACCACGAGCGCGGGCTTGTTTTTGACTAACTGCTCAATAAAAATCCTGTTATTTATATATCAAATGCCGTTATCTAGAAGGGTCTGGCAATGCATCGATGACCTTCCATCCATTAGGTGACTCATTCAGCTAGACTAGAAAAGTCGATCGCCTACTGGTAAATTCGGACGGTCGCTTCGGCTGCATTCTTGGTACCTGATATTCGACCCTTCTGGGGAATTCGGTAGTATTTGACCTAGAACATTCGTGAATGAGTAAATATGTTTACGGTTTTTATACGCCATAATATTTATTATCGTAACAAATGAATGCCAAACGTTAAAACGTTTAAAACAATTAGAAAATGTTAATGTGAGGGAATCACAAAAAGTAAAATGTACTGACATGTCTTGCAAAAATTGGTCACATTGCTCCTGTAGTGATCCTATCCCAAGTTAACTGCTCCTTGCCTTTCATCAATTATATATATATATATATATATATATATATATATATATATATATATATATATCTTCTTCTTCTTAGCCTTCTGTCGTCCATGTTTGGACATAGGCCTCTCCCAACTCCTTCCATCGGTCACATTCCTGAGCACATCGGTCTCTATCCTGAGCAACATATTTTCAATTTGTTCCGGCTATTCTTTTAATGTCGTCAACCCATCTCATCTGTGGTCTTCCTTTTGGTTGTTTACTTTCGTAAGGTCTCCAATGTTGTATTGTATCCAACGTTGGTCTGTCTGTCTAGCAGTGTGGCCTGCGAAGCTCCATTTAAGTTTGGCAATTTTTGTTGTTATGTCCTCGACTTTTGTTTTGGATCTTACCCAGTCGTTCCTCTTTTTATCTGACAGTCGTATACCTAACATTGCTCTTTTCATTGTTCTTTCTATTGTGGCTAGTTTATTCATGTTTGCCTTGATTAGGGTCCAGGTTTGACATCCATATGTCATGATAGGAAGGATGCATTGGTTGAACACTTTGCTCCTCAAAGTTTTCCAAATCCTGCCCATGCTAGTCTTGCTCTTCTAGTAATTTCCGCACTTTGGTTCTCTTTGTCAAGTCTCAGGATTTGGCCTAGGTAGATATATTCCTGGATTTGTTCTATCTCACTACCGTTTATAGTTATATGTCTGTGGCCATCTGTGTTTGTCATTATTTTTTTTTAATATTTATTTTTAGGCCGACGTATTGGGAGCTGGCTGCTAGTTCCCCCAACATAATTTGCATTTCCTCGAATGTGCTCGCTATAATGACTATGTCGTCAGCGAATCTGAGGTGGTTTAACTTATTGCCATTAACGTTAATACCATGGGTTGACCAATTTGTAGTTTTGAAGACGTCTTCTAGGGCTAGGTTGAAAAGCTTTGGCGATATTATGTCTCCTTGTCTCACTCCTCTCTTACTGGGGATGGGATTTGTATTTTCTTCTAGTTGTACTATCATAGTTGCATTTTCATATATATTATGTATTAGCTGCCTATATCTCGAATCTATTCTACAATTATTAATAGCTTGTTCTATGGCCCACATCTCGATACTATCAAACGCCTTTTCATAGTCGACGAAGGCAAGAAATACGGGTAGTTGGTATTCATTTGCCTTCTCTATCAATGTTCTCATTGTCATCAGATGGTCTGATGTACTATATCATCATCATATAACGGGGGTCCTACGGCGATTGCCGCTTCCCGCATTTCAGCCTCCATCTTTTCCTATCTCCCCAATCTCCCTCTTCTAAGCCTCTAGATTGCATTGTTTTTGTAATTTCTCTTCTCCAGGAATTTGGTGGTCTTCCCCTTTTCCTTCTTTCTGGCGGAACATACATTAAGGCTTTCTTTGATGTACTATATCCTTTGCGGAAATCAGCCTGTTCATCCGGTTGGTAATTATCCATTTTGTAGGTTAACCGGTTTTTAATAATTCTCATAAATAGTTTGTATAATTGACTGAGCAACGATATAGGTCTATAATTCTGTAGATCACATTTGTCCCCTTTTTTGTGTAAGAGTATTACTAGACTCTCGTTCCAGTCTTTAGGGATCTATATAAGGTTGAATGTTCAAATAATTAAACTTTGATGATATACAAGGCAACTATCGAACACAGTAATTAATTAAATCTTGCCCAAGTACTTTCGATCAATAGATCATCTTCAGGGGCATTTCGTCAGTTGTGGCCTATCCAACGTGAGCAGAATGTCATACATGTAAATTTGGACATAACAATACAATACACAAAGACAAACATTTTAGAATTTTTAAAAGGAGAAGCTACATGTTATATAGAGTTATATAGGGTCTCCGGCTTCTATATAACATGTAGTTTCTTCTTTTAAAAATTTTAAAGTGTTTGTTTGTCTTTGTGTATTGTATTGTTATGTCCAAATTTACATGTATGACATTCTGCTCACGTTGGATAGGCCACAACTGACGAAATGCCCCTGAAGATGATCTATTTATCGAAAGTACGTGGGCAAGATTTAATTAATTACTGTGTTCGATAGTTGCCTTGTATACCATCAAACTTTAGGGATCTGGCTATTATGGAGACATCTATTAAATAGCTCTGTTAGTACAGGGATTGTTTGTCTTGCTTGTTTTCAAGAGCTCGACAATTATACCGTCGTGTCCTGGAGTTTTATTATTTTTTAGTTCTTTTAAAACTCTTTCTATTTCGTATATATATATATATATATATATATATATATATATATATATATATATATATATATATATATATATATATGTGAAGTAACATAATGCCTCTGTCATTTATTTTTCAGTTAATAAAGTGTTTCCCGGTAGTTGCAATTTTCATTATTTATTTGTAATTAGTCAATAGATGTCTGAAATATTGCACATTCTATTGTTAAACAACGATGTTTTTGCAAGTGTCTTCAGACAATATTCTTGCGCCTAACATTTTGTAATTTTTCATTTAAAATGTGTTGGGTGGTTAGACATATTAATTGGGAATTATTTCGAGTGAGACCGACCATGATGACACAGATTAAATGTATAATGCAATTTTTATAGCAGCAAGTGAAGATAACGTAAAAAATATGGATTATGCTTGTTCCAACATATTTTTTATTAATTAATACGTATGGTTTTAGGTGAATAAAGAATATATTTAGACAAAGGGAAGTCTTAAGTTTATTTCTTTTTAATCTCTTAATCATAACAAGGTAATTGTACAGGGTGTACCCGATTGGTAGAGTGCGCTATATTCGAGCTTTGGCCGGTACCAGTGGGACCCTTGATTCAGCGCATCAGTGCAGTTACTAGCCAATCGGGGTTTTTCGAACTCCTTTAAGGGTGTAAAACCCTTTCCAGATTCCTGGAAGCCTTGTATTTAGAGTAACGTAGATCCCAAAATATCTAAGTGGTGAGTAAGTCATTGTTTCCTACTCATCCAGTTACTCTACAAACGATCGAATGAGTTGGTCATCTGCGTCATCTAAGACTTTAATGGATTAGACAGCAAGTCGACTACACAGAATTTGGCTTCAGAAGCTATTTGATGTTGAACAAATTCATGATTTTCTCAAAAATGCAAGCACAAGCTGTCCTTCTAATACACAACACTAACTTGGAACATGCTGCTTTCTTTAATTAACTAGGTACGCTATTGAACAGCAGTTACGATTCGACGACAGAAATTCTGTCGAGAATTAAACATGCTAGACAGACGTTTATTGGCATGCAGTACTTTATCAGACGTGACCTGGACCTTTATTACGAGTTCTAAGTTCAAGAGCCATGACCTCACCCTAGAAACAAAAATAAGGCTCCTTAAATATCACGTGTACTCAGTGCTTCTGTACGGAGTAGAAACGTGGACATTGAAGGCTGAAACTCTATCAAAACTTCCGGCTTTTGAGCTATGGTCATACAGAAGGATCTTGAAGATACCATGGACAGACAAAGTTCAAGGTTCAATGAAGAAGTACTGCGAAGGATGAACACAACTGCGGATTTGGTCAACATCGTCAAGGGCCGTAAACTGCAGTACTTGAGACATATAATGAGAAAACTGAGAACACGTATGCTACTGTTTGCTACGGTATGTGTTTAGCGTTTAATGCTACCTTAATAGGAAAATACTACGCAGTTCCCGGGCGCAAAGAATAACATGCTGAAGGTCTTAACAGAATGCAGAATGGACAGGGAGCTGAGTCAATAATCAAAGAGCATAAACCAATGTACACCGGGCACCTAATGTGAGGGAATATATACGATATACGTCGCGTCGGTTAATCATCGAAGGCCAAATTTAAGGGAAGGGGTTAATGGGAAGAAGAAAGAATTCCTGGCTAAAGGAGCTCCGCCGATGGCACCGCAAAACGTCAGTGGACTGCCAACCTACGAAGTAAGACGACGCAATGAGAAGAAAAATGGATTAAATAGTATCTGGTGTAATAACTTTCAAAATATGGTACAAAATCAATAACATAGCCACCGGATAGGTGGAAACACGGCTGTTAGGTTGTTGCCATTGAGAAACTTGAGAAGGTTTAGCCTTGGAAAAAATTAGATTAAAATCACCCCAAACACAAATATTTGGTAACAATAGGAGGAAGGTTATATCGAGGAGTGAAAACAGAAGAAAAAGTAATGTTATACCTAATACCAATTTTATTAAAACTGTTCTATTATGTTAAATTATGTTAAACAATTTATTATTAGTCTATGATAAAACTTCCATTAAAAAGATTTGATAATGCACCATCTAATCAATATTATTGTTTCAGGCACAAGCTCTACAAAATGCGGTTGCTGCCGCAGCAGCGTCTCAGACGTACATAACACAAGGATGTTGCCATCCTTGCATAAGGCCCGAAATACCTGGTACAGCACGTACTTTCGCTACGATGCGAACGCAGCAACCAGGATCCCTTCCCGAGTACCAAATCGATCCGTACGCCTTGCTTGAAGACGACCTCAAAGATGTATATGTGTATATAAGAAATGTAAGTACTAGTATTTTTAATTCACTTCAAAGAACGACTTGATGCAAATACAATACGAATTAATGGAATCATAGGCTGTTTTAACGAAAAAACAGTTTATTTAGTAAAATAATATATTTTGACAAAACTATAAAGGTAAACTTACATCATTCAGTAGGAAATGTGTCCCCCTTTGGCAGTAATTACTGCTTTTACCCGTTTTGGCATAGATTCTATGAGTTTCTGGCAGTTGTCAGATATCCTTTCATCTCGATACCAAACCTGATTGGCCGCTTCTATCATTTTTGTTTTAGTGGTACAGTCGATTTTTCGCAGTCTAGCTTTGCAAATGGCCCATAAATTTTCAATGTGGTTGAGGTCGGGCGAATTACCGGGCCAATCTAAAACATTATTCTTCTTATTTTTGAAAAATGCCATCATTTCCTTTGATTTGTGACAGGGAGCAGAGTCCTGTTGAAGAATCGCTCCTCCTTGGGGTTGACATTTTTGGAGTTGTTTGTCCAAATACTTTTCCAACATGGATATGTATTTTTGGCTGTTCATCATGCCTTCAATTGGCACCAAAGATCCAACCCCCATGTATGAAAAACATCCCCAAAACATTTTCTTGACTGGATGTTTTACGGTTTGATCAATATGAGATGGTGTAAGATTTTCATTGTCAGACTTCCTGACGAATTTCGACCGCTGTCCCTGAACTATAAAGTGGGTTTCATCTGTAAATAGGACTTTTTTCCAGTCGCCTACAGTCCAATTAGAGTATTTTTTGGCCCACAGTAGCCTTTGTTTCTTCATTCGTTCAGTTAGAAGCTGTTTTTTTCTGTGGACGAATTGCCCTTCTAACATTCTCCAAAAGTCTTCAAAATCGTTGAGAGATAAAAAGAGGAACGAGTGGATAAGATGCAAAACCGAAACAACAGACGCTGTCGAATATGCATTGTCGAAAAAAAAATGGAAATTGGCTGGGCATAACGAAAGATATCAGAATGGAAGATGGAATAAAGAAATTGGCCGCTATAGACCTTATACTGCAAAAAGGTCAAGAGGTCGACCGCAAATGAGATGGAAAGATGACATTGAGCAAAGTGCAGATCCAATGTGAAAAAGACAAACAGAAGACAAAGACAAATGGTGACAAATGGGAGAGGCCTATATTCAACACATGAATAGATTTTGGGCTATATATAGATCAGCGATACAATACAGGATTACTGTGAAATTTTGTTACCCCAGGCCAATCTACAATGTGCCGGGATGCGCGTTTCATTTTTTAGGGGTGAAAACTACGCGTTAATTTAAACTACCTGAATCAAAAGATTCAACTCCTGGAAAACATTCCCTGAGTGTAGTAAATTTACAAAAAAATCTGAAAATTGGTATATTTGCTATGTAGGCATCATACAAATTTTCTATAACAACAAAAAAAATATGACATCTATATGTCAAAAATTTGAATCTACGACAAAAGGACGCGGAAAACAGGACGCGAGACCAAAGGACGCGGAAAAAAGGACGCGCGAAAAAAGGACGCGCGAAAAAAGGACGCGTGGAAAAAAGGACGCATATTATTAATGAATTACTATAAATAGTTTATTTTAATTGACATTAGCCATTACCCCCTTTTTATCCCCATATGTTATTACAGAAAATGATTCTACCTATTCCTAAAATCGGTTACGGTAAGAGTAAAAAGTGAAAAATAATTATATGAAAAAAACTTGCCCTCACATTTTATCGAGGCTTAGGACTAAAATATCTTAAGTAAAATAATAAATACTAATATAATGTTGATTCAAGATTTCTGGTATTGAAACAGGTTAGATTCCATCTTATCAGAATTATGTATGGGATTAGAAAAACCCAAGTACCAGCCCAGTAAGGGGTCTAATGAGGGTTTAACGTCATTAATAATATGCGTCCTTTTTTGCACGCGTCCTTTTTTCCACGCGTCCTTTTTTCGCGCGTCCTTTTTTCCGCGTCCTTTTTTATGCGTCCTTTTTTCCGCGTCCTTTTGTCGGTATACCCAAAAATTTGGACTGTATACCAGAGTATACATCGCCAAATAGACCGAAAAATAGGTTTGTATAGCATACCATACATTGCCAAATTATGAAGGACAAATAATATGAATAACGAAAATAAAAATATATATTTTCAATCCTTCATTTACTATACTCCTTCTTCTTTAAGTTCCATCTTCTATCGAAGGTTGGAAATCATCATGGCTATGCGGACTCTGTTGACTGCCGCTCTAAAAAGTTCTGCACTACTGCATTCAAACCATTCCCTTAAGTTCTTAAGCCAGGATATTCTTCGTCTTCCCACATTTCGCTTTCCTCGGATTTTGCCCTGCATAATAAGTTGTAATAATGCGTATTTTTGCCCTCTCATCACATGTCCCAAGTACTCAAGTTTTCGTCTTTTAATAGTTAATATTATTTCCGCCTCATTTCCTATCCTTCTAGTTACTTCCATGTCTGACATTCTTTGAATCCATGATATTCGTAGGATTCTTCTGTAACACCAAAATTCAAAGGCGGCCAACTTATTCAGATGAACTTGTTTTAGTGTCCAAGCTTCTAAACCATAAAGAAGAGTAGAGAACACGTAACATCGAAGCATTCTCAGGCGTAGTTCTAACCTTATATCCCGACAACAAAGAAACTTTTTAAGTTTAATAAATGATATACGTGCTATTTCAATACGTGTCTTAATTTCTTTGGTTTGGTCTACATCTGATGTTATCCATGTTCCTAAGTATTTATAGTTATTAATACTCTCAATTGCAGTTACTTCAATAGTCAATTGGATATTTGCATGTGCAGATTTAGTCATGATCATGCATTTAGTTTTCTTTAAATTTATCTTCAGTCCGTACTCATGACAGCGTTCATTAAGGCGTTGCATTACGTTCTGTAAATCATTGTTGTTATCCGTAATTATTACTGTATCTGCAAAACGTAAGTTATTCAAAACTTCTCCATTGATAGGTATACCTTCTATTGAATCTGAGAGCGCTTCTTGAAATACCGCTTCACTGTAGACATTGAAAAGTAGTGGAGACAGCACGCAACCCTGGCGGACTCCTCTCTGTATTTTAATATTTTCGGTGTACTGGCTGTCAACTCTTACCTTGGCAGTTTGATTCCAATATAAATTAGATATAATTTTCAGATCACGACTGTCAATATTTTTGCTTTTTAATATATCTACAAGCTTTTTATGTTGAACTTTATCAAATGTCTTTTCAAAGTCTACAAAACAGAAGTACATATCCTGATTCATGTCCATGCATCTCTGAGCCAGCACATTCAAGCCGAACAAAGCATCCCTTGTACTCATACCACTTCTAAAGCCAAATTGTGTGTCACTAATCTCATATTCAAGAGTTTTAACAATTCTGCTGTGAATTATTTTCAAAAATGTTTTAAGTTCAAAACTATACTCCTATTACAGGTCAAATGTTTATATACAGCAAACTGTGCACCATATACCTATATACCTAAATATTTTTCTCTTTCTGCTCTCTCTTACCTATAGCATTACATATGTAATGATTGTGCAGTTTGTCTCCCATATAAATTTGTAACGGCGAACGCATGTATAGAAGTATAACTTTTACTGCCACACTCGTTTTTTTGTATGGAAGATGGACTATGTTCTTTTAAATAAATACACCTTTTATAAACTATTTTTTAATAAAAACGTTTGTGTGATATACGGTATACAGCTGATTACAGGAAATGAATATTTGTCTTGTAGATTCTAAACGCATAAATTTTTCTGCATTTTCAGTACAACAAACTATTTGTTATCTATTACAACAAAGTCTTTACGTCCACTACTCTGATTCCTACTGTTTACTTTATACCATAAAATTATATTAAATGCTGTATATGTAATCGTATTGCGTATTATAAGTTGAGAAACTAGTTATTTACTGACAGTTACGTGTTTCATTAGCCGTACCAATACATAATAATTATAAGTAAGAGCATCTTTTCTACGTTCTATAAAACTTGCGTGGACACTTTTTGTGTCATTGTCATCTATGGTTTAAACAAGAAGGTAATAAAAGAAAATTGTGTTTATAAGAAAATTGCCTTAAGTTACGACAAACATCGATGATGTGCTTGATTATTGTTTATGGACGGTGTAGGTGTTAATTTTTTTCTTGCTAGTGACATATAAGACGATAAAATTTAAGCCTAATCACGTAATTGACGGATACAAATATTGTATCACGGGAAAAAATTATCGATAAAAGGTAATTGTACAAGACACAAATCAATCAGTGCTTGCAGTGCTTTTTCTACGGCAATCAAAACGCTATTAATGTTTTTCATGTAGCAAATGTTTTTATTTTACTTCAAGTTGTGACTAATTTTCTTAAAAACATTAATATTCAACACTTCTACGTTGTGATTTGCGAATCATACAAATTGGATGTATATATAAATCAGCTCAACAGGTCTTAGATTCCGAAGGCTTTTACCTCAGTTACTTAAAACACGATGTGGAAAGAATTGAAGGCGTAGAAAAAGTAAACAACCACGAAAACGCTCTCCCACACGTTGGATGGATCGAGTCAAAGGCATTATTGGCAATGGTCTGCACGAAGTTTCTGTAGCAACTCAATACAGAGAAGAATACATAAACACGATTTGCATAATTAATATATGATGTTACTATACTATTGCGAGAGTCACCAGTCAAACAAAGAAGATCATCTTACAATTACTTCAATCTTATAAGTAGACTACGTACTGTTTTTCACAAATTATTTTTTCATTATTATTTTTTTCGTATCGATATTAGACTGTGCAAGGCTCTGGAACTTGGTAGGAGCACAGGACCGACTGGAGAAGTCCTCATTCCATACAAAAAACGCCCCAAAGAAAATAAGGAACTTCTTTGGGATATATAGGACATTTAATTTATATCGAGCTGATTAAACTTTTAGACGAAGACAATTTAAGACTAATAAAAGGAAAGTCAAA